CACACACACACCTGGATGCAAAATAGTTCAACCAACATGATCAGCGATTTGCCGACCTGAGTGTGATGTTCACTGAATTGCAAATGTGCTGCTCTGGGCAATATAAACCAATCTAATCCCTGCTTTGACATCACTGCTCTGCTCTCACACACACACACACACACACACACATACACACACACCTACACACACACACACACACACACACACATTTGAGTGTTTTATGCACTTCTGCGTCAGCAAAAGCCCGTCGACAAACAATGCAGATGACCAAGAAAGATTTGTGCTCCCTGACAGAAAAGTTTAGACTTAGTGCTTTTGTGTCGCAAATGACGAATGTCTTTCAGATTATGATTGTGTAAGGTGTTTAGCAGTTTGCATTTTATCTGTAAATAATCATAATCGACAAACATCGTCACATTAACACATATTTTAAAGAGCCATGCTAGCTCTGTCCACCACTTCACAAGCAGATTTAGCTACTTTATGTAATGCTAATTTTGCAAATGTTAGCATGCTAACATGCTAAACCAAAACTCTGTAATCGTTGCTAAATACCAGCACGTTAGCACCGTCATGGCGAGCGTGTTAGCGTGCCGTTAGCATTTAGCTGACAGAGCTACTAGGTGCAAACTCATGTTATTTATTAGCGTATATATAATATTGTTAAAATTAAGATATTTTCAGTGCATTTTATTTTCTGGTAGTTTTCATTTAATTTAAGTACTTTTTTTACTTAAGGGAAGTGTGATTTTTTGTGCAGGTCCTCACAAACATTAATTAAACTGTATTTAACACTGGCAACACCTCATTAACACAAACATCCTTTCTATGATTGGTTGAATATGATGTCCAGCATGTAAACATGTATTATAACAATATCTAATGTTTGTTTTCATACATGCAGATGGAGAGGGTCTGCAAACAGACAGGGTTTAGCCCTAAAGAGCTTACTCAAGCACAACAACATCAGAGATGCCTCCAAGACCAGTCGCCTTACGTAACCGATGCTCCGAATCTCATCCACAGAAATAATAATCCTCTGTTGCTAGGGATACTGCTGTCCCAACTGGCCTCCCCCTGTACTCAAAAAAGAGGAGCGACTTTGATTAATAAATGCACGCACAGAGCTGGGACGAGCTAAAAATAACAAGTATTGTTAAAATAGAGACCTAGATGAATAAACAGGTGATGGAGAGGCAAGTTTATTTGTTTAGTGTCTTTTAATAACAAGTGTTTTGTAAGAAGATGATAATAAAGGATGCACAAGGCACATAAAAAGAACAAAAACAGGAAAATAACACTAAAATATATGAATAACTTGTTAAAAAAGTATTGGATTAATAGTGAAAACAATTGGATGCATTAGGTGCAAACTTGACCAAACTGATCGAAATCTTAACAGTTCAACAGTGTGAATACCTTATTGCAACAATATCTTCTTTAATATAATGAATAGTGTTAAATAAACCACCAATTGGAACATGAAGGGTGCTGACTAAGTGGTACTTCAGTTTGTCTGACGGTGCTGCGGCGGTACATCAGACAAGAAAGAAATGATATATATACTATACATATTCTAAGGATATTTAAATGATACAAGAGCACCTGACCTTTGTGCCTAGATGAGGGTTTGGAAATATAATGGTGATAATTCTCCTTGAATTTAAATCATGTTCAAGTTTTTGGTGGGTCGGCTCAGTCCATTCAGGACCAGAATCAAATCCAAAATGTATCTGTGGAGGTATGAATGAGAGGAACCAGTGAGAGCAGAGCTGCCTCCTGCACTAGAAGAACACCTCCTCTGCCTGCAGATGTAACCTATGCAGAAGCTGGTTAGCATATTACAATTATCAAGTCAGCTGAACCAGGCAGTGGTGCGGCAGTTTTGCCTGTGGGTGGCTGCTGAGATGCAAAATCGAAAATAAAATAATGGAAATAAAAGCATATTGGATTATAGAGGAGGCAGTGGGGAAGGCGTTTCATGTTGCAATGAGCCAGAATTGGATAAAAATGTTTCTTTCATTTTGCCACGACTTATGTTCATTTTGCCACAGTTATGGAAAGTGTTGAATAATGGAAGGAGGGTTAGTAAAGTTGCAAAATGCTTTCTAGCGTTGGAAATTACAACAAAAAAAGCTGTAATAACACAATGTAAAATGTGTCGCGAATGAGCTTGATTTGCTCAAGCTTTCCCTTAACATTGATTTCAATGAATCCATAATCTATAACGTTTTTTTCAGCTTCTATTCATGCAGTGTAATAATGACACCACAGTAGATAAACCTATAGATTATTAGAAACATATGCAAAGTGCCTATTATGATTATAATAAAGGATATTAAAGCTGTAATGATCACAATGGTATTATTAGGTTACTGTAAAGTAACCTCATAAACTAACTAGCAGTGTAAGTATATTATAGGGATGTTATTATGGACAAAAATACTATGAGTTGATATAAAGTTATAATAAACTCACCCAAATCATGAATAATGTAGGAGTATTTAGATATTTTATTATAGAGATAACACACAAAGAAAACATGTTAAAGTTGCACAGAAAGAGACTATAACAATATTCTGGATTGTGATAATGGTCAATAAATATCCTTTATTTCTTGTGATGTGTATCACAGACAAACTGGCTCTTACATATATATAATATATAATATAGCCGTTACAGGAGATGTAAAGCATCATAAAGTTATTAAAAACAAATAATGACTGCGCTAGAACTGCACAGAGATATTTCTAATAATATAGGCCACGCCCAGAGACTTTTTCCTTAGTAATGGCCATAATATCACGCTGTACCCTCGCAGATAATCACATTTTCATCAGGCTAAAGCCCGCCCCTGGTAGATGCAGGGGCGCTCCATGTGACGCTGGGGCTGTAACAAAAATCCAGTATGGCGGAATCTGTCAGGAGATGAATTTTCTTGCCCCCCCCCCTGCGCTGAGAGGAAGAAAAAACAAAAAAAAAAACAGAGTATAACATGGGAGAGAAATAAAAAGCCCTGCGGGACACGTGTTGGGACGACTGGCTTCCTCCTGGCGCGTGTAGGTGAGTTTGTGTCCTCGCGAGGGATGAATGTGTATCCGCGCCGCTTTGATGTTGATATTCAGTTCAGGGATGCGACGCACAGACAGGATTCATCAAAACAATGTCCGGCTGAAGTTTCCACGTCTGCGCACCGGTTGTTTTTGGTTTTGTTCACGTATCTACTTGAGGTAGGAATGATTTCACGTCTTTATTCATATCTCCATACGGTTTCTTGCGCTGTAAGCGGGCGGGAAGTGTGAGGGAGGTGGTGGTGGGGGGGGGGGGGTGGGGTAGACAGGCGATGTTTATTATGCCGATTGTTGCTGAGCTATTTTTAGTGCATGGCCGAGCCTTCAGGCTTTAACGCAACATACAGAGCGCTAACACGCTTCCATTGCCGTATACCCGTGTTATTGGCGAGAAAAAGTCGTAAAACGGAGGCACGGGCCTGCGTAAAAGTGTGTGTGAATGGTTCGGGATGGGCGGTGGTAATTCTCTGCATGCGTCAATCTTTTTTCTTTTTTGTGAATGGGGGCGTACGGGTTGTTTGGAGCTGTTAAAGCAACATCTAAAGCAGCATATTACGGCTGTTAAAGTGTCTTAAAGCAGACTAAACAGCAGGACATATTAGTCAGGGATGGTTGTTTTTGTTTGTTTGTCGTGAGGGAGTTTGAGTTTGGAGTGCACACACCTTTTTTTGTGACTGGCATTTATAGCAGCTAGTGACACGATTAATGCTAAGCTAATATCATGTTATTTTTTATTTTATTTTAAGAAATGCAGCAAACTTTGGCGTTTTTTCCCACCATAACTGTGTGTTTAACCCATTTCCCAGGTCAGTTTTTTAAATTTTTTTTTACTATTTCTTCACTTTGGGCTCCAGGGCTTGTCTCCCCAGATATGTCACCCTGCATCAAGCAAGCTCTTTTAGGGACAATGGCCTGGGACACACACACACACACACACACACACACACACACACACATGAATACCCCTCCCGAGACAGACGAGATGCCCTAGGAGAATGGTGTTGCATGAAGCCCCCCCGGAGTGTCAGCTACTCCCCGTGACACACACGTTCAACCCCCCGCCCGCCCCCCGCCTCTTCTTGCTTCTCCATCACAAAGCGCAAGTGTACATGCACTGTGCAGTGACCGACTTTTTTGGGAGGGCAATTTGTCCTGCGGCTGCACTGTCTGGCCCTCTTGTCTTAAGACCC